TAGTAAGGCACCATGTTACTAGTAGCGTCCTTGCTACTAGTAGCGATACAGCTTGTTGCTAGTAATATAGCACCATGTTACTAGTAGCGTCCTTGCTACTAGTAGCGATGCACCTTGTTATTGGTGGTAAGGCACCTTGTTACTAGTAGCGTCCCTTCTACTAGTAGCGATACACCTTGTTGCTAGTAGTCAGGCACCGTGCTGCTAGTAGCGTCCTTGCTACTAGTAGACTAGTAGGGATGCACCTTCTTACTGGTGGTACGGCACCATGTTACTAGTAGCGTCCTTGCTACTAGTAGCGGTGCACCTTGTTGCTGGTGGTAAGACACCTTGTTACTATTAGTAGCGTCCTTGCTACTAGTAGCGATACACCTTGTTGCTAGTAGTATGGCACCATGCTACTAGTAGCGTCCTTGCTACTAGTAGCGATGCACCTTGTTACTGTTGGTAAGACACCTTGTTTCTAGTAGCGTCCGTGCTACTAGTAGCGATACACCTTGTTACTAGTAGTAAGGCACCAGGCTACTAGTAGCGTCCTTGCTACTAGTAGCGATGCACCTTCTTACTAGTAGTAAGGCACCATGTTGCTAGTAGCGTCCTTGCTACTAGTAGCGATGCACCTTCCTACTAGTAGCGATGCAAATGAAAATGCGCCTTTACTAGTAGTAAGGCAAGGACGAGAAGTAGTGAAAGAGAAATGCGATACGTTGTATGTTGGTGTAGGTCATCATCACAAGGCAATGGCATGTGTTTGTCACATGCAAGAAGGTATGCATCTTATGGAAGTTGGAAAGCAACATCAGCGTTAGCGAAGGGGAAATACCGTCTGAGTTCGAGGTACGGCGCGCGATTGGAGTGTTTGAAGTTTGCAGTGCATACTGCGGCGCGTCGAAAAGCCGCATTTTTTATTTGGAAGAGTGAACGGGCACGTCTTGGCCGGGACACGGGTACCTCATTTTCATTCATTTTCACTGCTTTTCTGACCCTCGCTTTGGAGCACCCTCCCCCACCGAGCTCTGGGTTCACCCTCTCAAAATGTCCCTCTCAGCACCCTAACTCACTTCGTTCGCTCTGAAAGCTCAAGCCTAGCCTATATTGATGCCATGGATTGTGTAATACCAGCCTGTGGACTTGGCTTTTTTGAGGGGGCCGCGAGTCACTGCGAGTTGGCAAGTGGTTGCCTATTCTTACACCGCTATAGTCAGTGCCCATACACGATTGTACCTCCTCACTGTGATCCAGGTTCCAAATGGCATCACTGTCATTACACTGTGTTCAGGCACGCACGTAAGCCATAAGCTGCTCAAAAATTTCTCGAGCACTGCCTGGCGCTGAGCCAAGCTGCAAAACAATCCAACACAAAGACTATCAACATATCCTTCATCGAAAGACTACCGGTCAACACGTCTTGCCGCACCGCTAGAATCAATCGTTGAACAATATTGAATATGTAAGATTACAATGGTAATGCTGCATTTGCCGCACAAAGACTTTCAAAGAACTAAGGACGGCTACGGCTTGCAAGTGCTTGCAAGTGCTAGGCGCCCCCCACTCACGTGACCCTTGGCGGCCAGCTCGTTCAGCTGATCAAACAAGTCCTGGCACACACACACACATGATGTGGCAATGTGTTGGAGCCAATTCTTGCACAAACCAAGTGGTGTGGATGTAGAATGTAGACAAACACTGCACACAACTTGATATGCAACAATAAGAGCAAGTAAGCCAGCTAAACATGTTCACCAACAAACTCCAAATCTCAGAGTATTGTGACTTAAACTTGCAACCTACACATGCGGTGCCTCAGGGAGGCAAAGACGTAGACCATCGTTGCTAGCTGGTTGTACACAAAGAACTTGCAACCTAGCCTAGACAATAGATCAAGTCAGCTTGTTGGAGGTCAGGCCTCGTCGACCTTGAGTCTCTCTCGCTTGAGCTTTCCAGCGATGCCACGTTCCAGTGATAAAGCAGTGCCTGCCCATTGTAAAGTCCTTGCACCAAGGCGGACACGATGAGCAGCGAAACCGCTGGCATCGCGTGCGGCAGCATCTCTCAAAAGCCGCACAAAATCAAAGCGCTTTCTATGCATGCGTTTCCGGGCGGCACGATTAACAGGAAAGAGGTAGGAACCGGGGAAGGGGTAGGAACAGAAAAAGTACTTGAATGCAGCCACTGGAGTGTGTATGTGTATATATATATATATATGGATGGAGATATGATATATGGAGTCAATTGTACCACTGTGCACAGTGCACAGCATTACAAAACATGCAACAAGTGCACCTTGCGTGCATCTTGGTCCATCCAATGGGTGCTGTGAAGAACACCGCGGTCCTTCTTCGTGCTCTGCCTTACCGCTAAGGGAGGCGGAGTGTGAATTTGACTAAAAAACGAAAGATATGAACGCCCTTTGTTCCTAGTAGCGTCCTTGCTCCTAGTAGCGGTGCCCTTTGTTCCTAGTAGCCTACATGCTTCCGCATGTCCGGGTGTCCATGAACCACCGAATGCAGTCGTTTGCTTTCTGGCCTTTGTCACGCAACCCACGGCAGGCCCAAATTTGAGCCTTGTGGCAAACTTACAGCTCGTTTGGTCAAAATCCCACATTTGTGGTGTCACTGGAAGTTCGTGCATCCAACAGCAGCATCCTTGCTGATTCAACGAGTCCTTTACACATGCTTCAGTTGTTTGAGTTCGCACGACTGGCCAGTTGAACAACTCTGACTCTGAGTCTCTGAGCAGCACACTGCAGCTGCAGCCCAGGCGGCTTCATGTGGCCTCAAATCCACGGTTACAAAGGTCCTTGGCATGGTGATTCTTGGAAGCTGAAACAACAACCCCGTAAGGCCGTTCCATAACCGGAAAGGGTCCCACACTTGGAAAGGCTTTCGACGATGCAAAAGCACATGCGGTGTGCTGGTGACCCTCAGGTTCCTAAATAGGACCTGTTCGTTCTTGTGTGTGCTGCCAAGCAATGAAGCAATGCAATGCGTCACATTTACCACATAATATATGTACATAATAATTATTATACGTTATTCGTATTTCTTTCAAAGTCTGCCCACCTCTTGGTCCAGCATAAACATGATCGGCCACCATGCAAATAATGAAACAATTTGAGCATGTCTTTGAGCTACCCTCCAGCCAGCTGCATGGAGGGTTTCCCGCGTATCGAGCTGAGAGTTCGCACCAGGCCCTTGCCTCTCTGAAAGTGCCTTCGGTGCTGACACAGTTGTCTGGGATGGTCTTGGTATGTCTTGGTCAATTACTGTCGATTTCGCACAGCTCAGGCTGCCTCCCAAACACAACGAATTTTCGACCAGCCAAGGCCAACCGGCAACACCTGTCCAACTACACTGGTCAGACCTCTTCGATTCCCACTGCTGGATGATGGCGTCGGCGGGCCAAGTTCATGCCTTCCAGCGATCAATTCGATTCAGTACATGTTCCCTGGCCCTTTGCTTCCAACATCTGGAGCATGTTCACTTGCACAGGTTTGGTAGACCGTTGGAACCCTGCGAAGGTACAACACAAACTCATCACTCATTCATCTCAAACAATGGAACAGGAAACACAATCAAACAGTTGCAAGAAGTATGGCATCAGAATGAGGTGGCCTCAAGGAGATTGCGTTACGTATCAAGTATCATGCCATTTTGCCAGAACCACACATCTGCTCCAAACGTATACAGAGCACATCGTGATGTGCAAATAGGAAAATTATGTTTTGGACTAAAGGACCACACATTCTGATCCTCTCTGACTTGTGTCCATCTCTGCCACTGCTGTTGAGAAAGGTTTCCCTTGGCAGGAAGCCTTCCTGAAACCTGCAGCCACAAAACTGGAAGATTGTGCTAGCCCTTTGCTTGACGGCCCGCTAGGGCCAGCTATTCATTGACGAAGCTCAATCTTGAATGGGGCCCGATACATGTTCATCTGCCCCATTGACGCCTTGGAATGCTGAGAAACGCCAAAGCCATGGCAGCTCTGCAAGCTGTCTCGATCTGACCCTGTTGCGGCTGTTTTCCATCTTGGGCTTTCTGCTGCACCGGTTTGTTCCTTCATGGCAAGATGTGTCTTTCAAGCTTTCAAAAGGCTGTCCCGCCACTTATTGACTTGAGGCATGTCAAGGACTCACCCAAACATGTCACATCGGTGAAACCCCAAACACCGTGTAAATCAAGAAGAATCCAAGAATCCCATGACTCTGTATGGAGCAGCAAGCCTGCAAACATGCACAGAACTAACTGAGATTCCGAGTTGATGCCTCTGGCTGCCCTCCGTCTCTGTCAATCCTTCTGATGTGCTAGCTTTATTTATGGGAAGGAAAACCAAAGGAGTCCGAAAGCAAAGTCATTTAACCTGAGGGGATTGCTCTTCATCAACTCTCTATATCTCTCTCCCACTCGACAGGGCACATTGTTTTGGAATCTTTATCAGCAAGCAACCAATGTTCTTCACTTCTCCCTTTTCTCCACAGTGAGACACGGCGCCAACGCTGAACCTTAGCTAACCAAAAGGATGAGCAAGCTTAACAGGTGGACATGGCATGACATCACCATTGGCAACTTGAATCTAGTAGCATGTCATGTGACATCTTGACATTCTTGAAATGATATCTTTCCTTGTTGATGGCTCAAATCTCGGACTCCGAACATGCGTCAAACGGCCTAGGTGCCCTGGTTTCCTGTGAGCGTAAGGGTGTACCGACCGAAAGGGTCAGGAATGTGTCTCTAACCATACATCAAACCTGTGCGATAAGCCACAATTCCTACGGCAACAAAAAGCATGACATCGTGCAGTCACTGTCAAAGAGCGATAGACGAGTGCTATTAGGCATCAGCTATAGTCTATAATTAGCCCCTCATCAGCAAATACATAGGACATACAGTGTGGCAATATGTGTCAGTTCACACATGTTGTTTGGATTGCAATGTCTCTCCTGCCAATCCATTTGCCAACATTGGTAGAGGACGAGGTCGCAATTGCGGCAAATCTCCGGGTGGCTCCAGCCTTCGGCGCCGGTGGTACACATTTAAGTATACATAGCTTGTCTGGAATCCAATGACGTTGTTAAGGTACTATTTTTGTTGTGGATCCACCTTTCCTTGACATCTTTCTTTGAGTCTGCGAGTTCTTGAGGCCATTGCATTCCTGCGCCCTATGAAATCAACAACACGCCCCACTATCGGCAGAATTGTGCAGCTTGGATGTCAAACGCGACCACCAGAGTGGTGCGTGTTGCTCGAAAACAACACACATGACGCAGTGATTACCAAACCAAAAGTCCAACAAAAACTTGGACATCAGGTTTTAAAGAGAAACTCTTCAACAAACGGGTTGAGGGAGCCCTCTGAGGTGGAGACGACCTTGGAGATGGATGAGGAAGAACCGACTTCGGATCCCTGACAGGCGCGGCAAGCAAGAAGCAGACCAGGGAAGAGTTGAACCTCCACAAGTTGCTGTCATCTGTTGCGCAGCAACAATGCAAGCCAGCGCCATTAGGCAACTGATCCTCTTACTCCATTGCAATCATCACTATCTGCTCAAAAGAAGATTCACAATGTTTCTGGTATTGGTCCTGAGTACTAATCAAAAACACACTTTTTAAAGTACATACTACATCGTACTACTATATCGCTGAAGCAAAACTCTGTGAGGCTCAGTTGCAGCTGAGTTCAGGCTTTCGAGCATTTAAGCAGCTCTTACGGCTCTTCCGCAAACCCAGCCTGCCATGCAAACATCCTTGCAGAATGTTGGTAACCTTGGAGTCCACGGAGGGCGTATAATGCCACCTTGGCAATCGACAGTAGTTTTGGGTTCTGTGCTTCACAATCGACAGTGTGCTTGAAATCCAACGACCTCATTGGACTCATTGCACCGTCAGTTGCAATCTCAAAACTTATATAACCCGGAATAAAGTTAGCCGATCTGCGCCCTGATTAATAAAGGGACCCGAAATAAAGTTAGCACTTTTTATTCAATTCAAATTCAATTACTATTTCTAATTTCAATACTAATTCACCGTTATTTTAATATTTATTTTAGTAAGGGGACATTTCAGTTTATTATATAATAATTTCTTGGAACCTGGCATGAACTTTATTTATGGTTTTCAAATAATTTCAATATTTGACAGTACATTTACTAATCAGAGGTCAACATCAATTAAATCATTGCATCGTTTCTCCAGCTCCCAACCGAGATTTGAAGTGGTGACCCAAAACCCAGGCGGTCTGCTCCAAACTGACCTGGCTGGCTGGTACAATGAAGCTGAATTGTAATTGACTTTACTTGCCGCTCCTGCACATGCACACACACATGATTGAAGCTCAATGAGCAAAACCATCATGAGCTGGACAAGCGAGCTTCCGTCCTCTCCTCCCAACAGCGTGTTGTTTCTTTCTTGACAAACAGGCTTATAACTTATAACCCAATCATGGTGCCTTGTCACACAGAGATCTGCGATCAGCTTGAGCGTGCCTGGTTGGCACCCAATCAAGCTTGTCCGGTGCACTTCGTCAAATCAGCTTCAGTTGTTCTCATAACAAACGGATGTCTGAGTCCAAAGCCATCCTTCTGCTGTTTGGTGCATGTCCGCCACAGTTCCTTTGCAAAATTCTTCGAAGTGCCTGCAAGTTGCTCAGGTGGGTCATGCGCACAACTTGAAAGCTTGGATGGCAACATGTGACTACTATCATGTGATATCATGTAACAGCTTTTTGATGTGGTTTTTAGGGCACGCAAGTCCAAGGCACTTTAAGATGTTTGCCAATCACAATTTCGACACAGTTCAAATAATCTATAGCAGCTCAGGCCTTCTGGTGATCTCTTCTCGCTCCTCTTTGCATCGAACCATGGCGCTGCAATCTTCTTCCCTCAGCAGTTGACAAACCATCTTGTGAACTGATCTCCAAACCCAACTGTGCTACACTGCAACTCATTCCTAAATCTGAAAAGTAATGTGTGATCCTGCTTTTGTAAGAAAATTAATGTAGGATGACCGTCAGTAGCATCTGCCAAACAATACAAACCATATTCACAAAACATCGAATGAATCATGGGACCATAACTACACAGTAGTTCCCATTGGACAGTGGCTGAATTATATTCTAGTTTTGTAGGACCTCCATGGCTATACCCAATTACTCACAAAGCTTCGTGAATCTGTAGGAATCTAAGCGTCAATTTCTAGATGGTCCGCGTTCCTGCTGGTCGCTGCACGTGCTTTGCATGACAGGCAAAACAAGTATGTATATATATATATAAGCGCACTAAGCACACTGCATCGCGGTAGTGTGAATCCCAGCAACTCCACCTTGGATGCACGCAAAACGGAGAACAACCACTTTTTACCACATCACAACCTTTGAACCAATCAAAATAACATGGAAATGTAACAAACACTGATGGCAAACTGCATTTCATGCCATCCTTGAGATTTACATGGATTTGCGATAACGCACACGTTTTGTCTAAGTTGATGCTAGTCTGGTGGACCAAAACACTGTGCCATGTTGCGCCTTCCACCATCTGTCAAAAAGAAAACCGCCTGTCAAACATCTCTTGAAGTTTGCACTTCTACTCCTGGCCTGACTACTAGGAGCAAGGACGCTACTAGGGGCTCCTGGCCTTACTACTAGTAACAAGAAGCTACTAGGGGCTCCTGGCCTTACTA